TCACTACAGAGACAACTGAAACAACGTTTGCTGTTGAAGTTGAAATTGCGTCGCCTTCGGTCAAAATCACAAATTTCACCACGGAAACCTTGCCCATTACCACTGAAACGCCGATACTAACTACAACTGAAACGATTCCAATTCCTGTCACGACAGAGACAACTATTACAGTAATATATCCTGTTACAACCGAGGTTCCCACGCTTGTGGAATTAACAGAGGCCTTATCGTCGATAACGGGTCATTGGGAAGTTAATATTACTAGCCCTTATGTAAATGAAACAATTGAAATTTTGACCACTGAGTTGACTGTAGAAACAGCTAAAACGACTGAATTTACTATAACATCAATCGTGTCCCCTGTCGTTACTACGACCGAAGCAGAAGTATATGAAATATATGAGGAAACAGTTCCTAAAGAAGAATACGAAGAAAAGGATGAAGAGGCGGAGGAGGAGGAAGAAGAAGAGACATTCAGTCCACCTTGGTACGACTATGTAGAAGAGAATATAACGACGACGACGCCAAAAATTGAAACACCTACGAAAGAAATTATACGAATAGAAGTTACAATTATCAAGGAAGAACTAAATATTACAACTCCCTTTGTGACTATTCCTGAAATTGTATCTACTACTTTAACTCTATTATTTACTGAGGAAACAACATTGAAAAGTCCAGCTATTGAAACAACGACAAAGGAATCCATTGGGATAGAAATAACTAAAAAGTCTAATATCACTACTTTGAAGTATACGCTGCCTCCAACTTCGAAATTCACTACGGAATATTTGCCAATCGATTATTTGGAAGAAAATATTACGAGACCGGCGAAAGTTACAACACTCATACCCATAACTTCTACAAAGGTATCGAATATTACTAAAGAAAAAGTTAGCAAGCTACCTATTTCTCCTGCATCAACAACACCTATGGTGACACGTACGACGAATCAAGAACAAAAGAAACAACGCCAAGAGGAAAAGAAAGAAGAGTTGATAGAAGAACTGAAACAATTAGAACAAACTGCGGAAATAATTATAGATAGAGAGAAAAAGCTGGATACAGAAGAGAAAGAATGGGAAATGAATAAGGCAAGACGAATGCACGAAATCTTCCAAAAACAAAAAGAAATGAAAACCGCTTATGAAACCAAGTCTTCTTCAACAACAGGAACTGAACGTGTCAATGGAGAACCGTCAGTTTTACCCGAAGTAACACCTCCGGTTAATGCTACGGCCCCCAAAACTGATGTTGTTCCAATGAAACCAGAAATGACAATACATCCTGCAATGACGACAGAAGATGAACTCGAGGCAGAAGTTGAAGACCTGAAGAAGAAATATTCCGAAAAAGAGAAATGGCTGGAGGTACGAGAGAAGAAATTATTAGAAAGAGAAAAGAAGCTTCAGAAGGAGAAAGAAGAATTCGAGAAGAAAATAAAGGAAATGGAGGAGAAATTAGCGAGGGGGGAAGAAATTTCATTCACCACGGAACCCTATTATGAAGAACCAATGCGTACGACGCCATCTTTCTCGCAGGTACCACCTACAGAGAAAACGACAATTGAAATTCGAGAAACAACAGTAGCGGAACCTACAAAAGAGACTAGTGTGAGAAAAATCATCACACAGTCTCAGGAGGAAGAAGAAGAAGAAGAAGAACACGAAGAACGGGTGAAAGTAAAAGACACGACGAAGATGTGTTTGAATGTTTTAAAGTCAAAACCTTTGGAAGAACAAGCTGAAGGTTTAGTGACAGGAAAACTTTGCTTACCGTTCAGTCCAGATAAAGAGCAGAGAACAAAGATCAGTGGACTGCACCTTAAAGAACACGAATGGACTGAAAGTGCATTTACGAAGGGTCATGAAAAATCGCAGACAGAATTGGAGAAGCAGGAGAATCGATTTAAACGAAACATTCCTCAGAGAGAGAATGTTTGTCCTGAATTCCTGATTAATCAATTTACTAATGAAAATGAAGATATAAAGACGCAAATTGAGCAGCCATTTTCCAAATATGGAAATCGTAGCTTTCGGCTTACGAATATTTTCATGATCACCGAAGCGTCAAAGACTACTGAGAAGAGTTATTGGAAAATTAGTAGTAACAGATATAAGGTTAGATCTATGTTGCAAGTTATTGAAGTTGAAGATAAAGAGAATGAGGAAGACGATGAAATAATTGTGAAAAGAGATGAAACAGGTGTTGAAAGTTGTTATTACGAGGATCAAGTCGAAAGAAATCCGAGACAAGACGAAAGCACTTCCCCAGGTACAACGGAAAGTACAGATGATGAAATCGAGGAGGAGACTGTAAAATCCGAGATTGAATCGAGCGAAGATAATTCGTTCAAGAATGATGCAGATAGAAAAACAGAATCTGTTCCGGAGAAGGAAACGTATAGTAAGGAAGATGAAGTGGAGGAAGTAACTGAAAGCCAACGTATTAAGGAAAAACCAAGTGAAAGAAAGTACAAAGATAAAGATAAAGAAAAAGACGGTAAAGGTGAGATAATTTAGCAGATCAAAAATGTAATAGACTAAGCGATTTTAGTATATTTCATTAAATTAAACGGAATATTTTCAAATTATGTCACATAACAAATATATGTATTTAGGAAAAGAAGAATTTTTCTAAATATCCCTCTCCAAATTTTCGTTTTACATGCCAAGAAAACGCAAAACATTTACTTACTAATAATATCGTTACATTTCCATTATTATTTATAATAAGGCTAGTATGAGTTTGTGCACATATATCTTATTCAAACATTATTCACTCTGATTTTCAGGTAAAGAAAAATCGAGACAGACACCTGGTCCGGAATGGCCAACGGAAGCTTTAACCGCTTATCACGTAGGTGGTACTAAAATCTGGATGCTAGAGTATCCAGAACGCGAGTTTTCGGAATTGAAGGAAGGCGAGCAAGATGTGGAAAACGTCGGAGAACGACCACTCGAGGCAACGACTTGCTACTATGTTATTCTTGAGAACGAGGAGGGCAGTATCGAAAATCCCGAGAAAGATTACGATAAAGAAAATAGCTTTGAATCATCCTTAAAAGAGTATATTCCAAATGCAAACGACCAATATCCCAGGTACAGATAAATCGTGACGCAAAAAATCAGCAAGAAAGATACATAAATTTCACGATAAAAAAATCTGCTGTTAGGGAAGAAGTGAAGAATTACCATTTTTTAACTACAATACTTCATTCTCGATAAAATACATACAGTGACTCACAAAAATATTTGAGTATCGACATAATATGTTGAGAGCAAGTTTCTATAAGTTTTCAGATACTTTCATCTGCCACTGTACATAATATGTATTTATCAGAAGCACCAAAAAAGAATAACGAAAAAGCATAAATCAGTAAAATAGCAGTAAGATGTAGCACGTAATGCTAACAAGTTGTAAAATTTGTATATATGTATATATATGTAAAAGAGTATATTAATAAATTTAATTAGAAAATTCATTTTAAACAGATAGCAATTTCAATCGATTAATGACAGAATTTGCAATGGTATCATTGCTATTAATTCATTAAGCAATCAGTTTGATTAATTCTTTGGTAGCAACCGCACTGGCCGCAGATCTCTAACCGGAAGTCCACAGTGGTTCGTAAATACTCGGACTGACAATGGAGTATCTTCGTCAAAAGTTTACCTTTGGCCAGATCGTTTCGTCGACCGTTTTATTTTTTAGTGGAATCAAAAAAGATTCTATGAAATAACATTGTACAAATAACAAGTCTGACACTAACTTAATCTATTCTTTTTGCATTGGAAAGAAATTCCCCTAATATTAAATCGAATTTATAATTTATCGATATATTGTAAACGTGGAATTTATACTTATTTAAAGAAAGTTCTAATACGACGAAGAAGAATTAAGAAGCGTCAATGACACATTTATTTCTATTTAATAGTACCCCTACACTCCTATAATATTCCTACGATATTACGTACATTGTACATTCATCAGAGATCATTTTGATGCTACATAGTAAAGGTATCGCATTAAGTATTCGCATGGCCATACAAGAAGTCTATTACTGAATTTAGATCTAATTACTACAAATGAGGAAATTGGGGAATATATTGGGTTGGCAATTAAATAATTACGGACTTTGTCAATACCATCTAATGACAAAATCCGCAATCACTTAGTTGCCAATCCAATAGTATTAATTTTACGAAAATCGGAGAATACCTTTTATTTTTGGATAATTGTTTTTAAGCTCAGAAACGAAACGAATTCAATTTCCATCAATTTCTCTATTTCAATGTTCGATATTGGAAATGCGATCTCTTTTATTTGCGGACACATCGTTTCACTAAAAAATCTAAATTTTATTTTCAAATACATTTATAGCGTGTACTATACAGTAATATTATAATATCGTATTGAAAATTATTTGTACAATTTTGTGATAAATAACTACAAAATTAAAAAGTGTCAAATTAATAGAATACTTCCTTTCAAAAATACGTGATATTGAAGTAAAACAGAAAACAAACACCGCGTTCAATCCTCGCTATCCATTTTTGACAGGAAACGATAGTTCAGGAAGGATTATCGAGGCTTTCTCGCGGTCGAATAATTAGATCCGCTGAAACTCAATCAATCTTTCGTTAGGCGTGCCTTGTAAGACGATTTCGTTAAATTCAATTTGCCAGCAGTAAGTATTGCCGATATTTCATCGGCAATGAAACGACCATATATCGCTGATATCGCGATCAATAAAATTTATCGATAAAACTTGATGGAAAAAATCGGAATTGTCATATAAATACGAACGGCATGACGAAACTATCCAGAGTGCTTATACACGACGAATTTTTGTGGTTGTGCGTAACTTGTTTTTCAAAGTAAAATATTGATCGAAATTTATTTCCTATAATTTAGGTATGTATGGGACTAATTATCATATGTACAGTTTGACACAGAAATATCGCTATCGACCTGGAAAGTTCTTCATTAAAAATGTCAGACAATGCTCGAATTGGGGACGAAAAATATTTTTTCACGATATGATCGTATAAAACCTCGGAATCAGTCATTAAGAAGTCGTTCGAGGTACTAGTTTCTTGACACTGACGATCACCAGACGTTGTTTACGCCAGAGTCTAGTGACTAGACTAAAAACACACCTTGTTGAGTGGTGCGCAAGTCGAATGTTTCATCCGAAAGAACAAAAAACGTGAGGATTTTCGTGAGTAATTTTATGACGTACTATTTCCACTACTTTTCAGAAGAATATTTTTCAGTCGAAACACTAACATTTACAATGGCTTTCTTTCAGCGATAGTGGCGATGCTTTCATTTTACACGTTCATCGTGTTCTCAGTAACCGAGCGTATTATAAACGTCTGTTACTTCCGAAAGATCATTAGCCACTCGTATCGGTCGAGGACCGTCTAAAAGAATTTCCGCGATCTTTGCCTAATTGATTCGAAGCTTCACGTTCGTCCAGGTATCGCTCATCCTTTTCTCATTAAGCGTTTGTCGCGATTCACGCGCACGGAAGTGCATGAATAAACGAACAAGCATGCTGATGGACCTTTGGCCTTGTTAAACGCTCGATCAAATCAAGATCGAGTCAAGAGTCAAGACCGTTCTCGTGCGAGTGCTATACGTATTCGTGAACCTTATCTCAATAGCCGGAAATTAGAAACTTTCGAAACCTTGTCATCGTTCGGAGAAAAACACCCCTTATATTAGTGGAGTTGACAATCATCACTCGAACATCCACTACTCTCTCTCGTGAATAAGTTAGCCAAAATTAATTGCAAACATGAACCTGCAAACATACACAGTTGAAGTTAGTGAAACAGTCATTGAAATTAAAATATCGTGTTCTAGCGAAAAAGGAAGAAAAGAAATCATTTAGGAAAAAGGAACAAGTTGTTATCGTAGTGTGGAACACTGATCGCCGAAACACGATGAAGGAATCTCAAAGCATAATTTCTGTATTCAATGTTGCAATCGGTTTGTTACTGGTAAGTAATATGAAAAAGTCTTAATTATATTTTAATAAGTTACTATTTAACTTAGCATTGGACTCTTGATATCTTTTTTACAAAAGCATCCAATGAGTTTAAGAAATCCAATAATTTAAGAAATAATATTTATTCGGCTCTGAATGATAAGCCTTTCACGCTGCAAGTAATTAATTATTATATTTGTTCTCGATAAAACCATTCTCAAATTTTAGTGCATTGTCTCTTCTTTACAAAACCACCCGAAAAAGTGTATTTCTAGCATTAATAATTAATAAAAAACAATTTTTCTCAAAGACTAAAAATATTAGGTTCTGAATTTTATCAGTTGTAAATCTGATACTATCAGGTCTGATAGTTTGGATTTAATTGCAGTAATAATATTCATGGTAGTTTCGACTAAATAGTGTTTCTCAGTTACCAAACAACTGTCTTAAGTTTGAAGAAAATACGAATGAATCGTTATTGACATGCATAAATTTTTGTTCCAATTTTTTGTTAATGTTTTTTTTTAAAATCTACGAAATGATAGTTCGTACATAAATAAAATACAAGTAAAATACATAACATATATTTCTAAGTCTTTTTGCTTGATAAAACAAGAATGTAGAATGTAAAATAGTAGAATACCATAATTCAAGGACTGTAGCAAGGATAATACAGTAATCTTTGAGTTAACCATTTAACCATTTTCAAGCTTGAAGCCGAATAATCGCGTTAACCCAAATGAAGATTAAACGAAATTCATTTATCGGATAGTTTGATTACAAGGCCGTTGTTTGAAACAATACGCTGAAACGATAAACTACTCGTAGAACTTAAACCAACGACCGTCTTTGCAGTTGACTGATCGTGGTCCACAGACTTGTCAGAAGTCTCAAAGGGACAGTCAGCTTTTGATTATAGAGTAGTTCGATACTCTGAGTCTCGGCGAAATTAGATGCCATTTGAATTAAAAATAATAATTATTTTACGTTCGTTTTCTTTATTTCTCGTGTATCTTATTAGAATCCCTCGCGTTGAAAGTTGAAAATATGTATTAACGCAATCTACCAACAACAAAGAAGACAACCTGTCAGCTGTATTTGAAAAGGATTTTCCAGGACATCTCCTCTATATCTTTTGGTATTATGAAAGGAACGGTAGCTTTTTTGAACGAAGTTGAGTATATTAGAAAGCTGATATATAAAAATAAGTATACAAGAAATTATTTGTCGAACATTGGTACGTAGAAATTTTATTAAATTTCAAGGTTTACATCCCAATGATTAATTCCAAATCAATCAAAGATTTCATAATATTAAAAAGAATGAAAATTTGTAAGGAGTATCTCAATATTTTAAGACACACAATTAAATATATTTTTGCATTTTTGATTCAAAGTATCAGAAACATTAGGATCTTAACGAATCGTATCTTTTGAAAGGTCTTCAACAACGTCCACAGTGATTCTCAATGGCAAAATGAAACAATACCTTCTTGTAAAGGACAAACTTTCTGCGAGAATGTTGCGAATTATCCCTTTGATGCGGTGAAGAAAATAATTAGCAAACATTCACTTCTTAAAAATTATAGTAATCTCGATATGGTTAGTATTCATTTTTATAAAAGTATTTTCATTTCCTAATGAAAGAAATGCGACTTACCATGTTCTTCTCTTGATATTCAATCTTTTTTCTCTAATTTCTTATTTTTATTAATCAATTTATGGATTACTTCATTCTTTTACTTTTCTATGACATATTTATATATAATATCTGTAAATGATAGATATGTTGCATTTTATTTTTCAAATTTTGTTGATTTTACTTTTAGGTAGAACCACTTAAACCCACTCTACCGATGCACTCAGAATATGGAACGAAACTCTGTCAGTCAATCGTAAGTACGTATAATTTAATACTTGATTTCTACCTATATCTTTCAAAATAATTTCAGGAGAAAATTATCTTTCCAAAAACGGCGGAAAATATGAATAACGAGTGGTCGTACGTCCTTAACACTGATGATGTGGTACAGGGAGTACACATAGAGAAATGCGTGTATGTAAAATACATACATTGTCTATATAAAAAAAATTAATCCCCATCTGTTTGTTTCGCGTCATAAAATACCAGCAGCTTTTTATATTTATATTACTGCTACCTATATACATAGGAAGAAGCAATAACTAATATATTATCGTTGTCAATTTTATCGTTAAATATCCTAGATCAATGGTCCTCAACCTAAAGTTCGCGTATTCCTAATTGTAAGGATAAAGACTTATAAGAGTATGTCAGGATTTGTTATTAAAATTTTCATAATTTTATAAAATTTGTTAAATGTTTGTGTCATCTTTCCATATATATATATAGTCTATATATGTATATGTTTTATTTTATTAAAACAATCTTAGAATCATTATTTTTTTATAGCAACGAAGGCAAACGTTGTAGCTCGATAAATGGGCTCGCAAGAGGTTATATAACCGTATGTAAACAAAGGTACGTTCATAATCAACTCCTAGGACTTCAGAAGGGTGGCTCGTATACCTATCAGCAATTCCGATTTCCATCCAATTGCTACTGTTACATTGAATACGTCGGCCCTGACATACGGCTCGTCGAAGTAGCAGACTTCCAAAACAAATCAAGCGATATCAATTGACCTTATTGAATTCATCTAAAATGGATGTCTATATTATATAGAAGAATGGAGTACTTAAGAGGAAATTCCATTACTCTGTGATTTTTCTTTTTTCATAACATTGTTATTGATTATCTATACGCGAAATAGCCGCTATGTCAGATATAAAATTGTGCGTATAAAGCTTCATAAAAGGATAAAGAGAAGTGTTTATTGCTGTAAGAAATTTTTGCAGGGCGATATTAGGTAATAAATAACTGAACAATTATATTTTAATCTTTTTTATCTTTGTTAATATAGATGAATTTTTAAAGGAACGAATTATGTTCTTTTATGTTTTTATCCTATTGTTTCGTGTTTAATGTTTATCGTTTAATGATCAGACATTTATTATATTTCATTTATGCATGTAAGTACTCTTTAAGTATTCTTCGAATAAGAAAAGTGACAAAGTATATAGATATAAATATATGAAATTTGAATATCACGACAGGACGAAGTAATAAAGTGTTACATATGTAAAGTACAGTGAAATAAATAAAAGCAATAACTCTGCAAAAATATGTCTTCAATTTTTTCATTTCATCAGAAATTGTATGAATGACGGAATATTTCCAAGCATTAGACTTCCATTTTATTTCCCATTAAATTTTGTTAAATAAAAATAAAAATATAGTTAATCTTCTAAAATCCGACTTCTTTCGCTTACGTAAGAAAAGATTGTAATTAACTGCAGTTTTTATTTCGATGCAAAATTTAAGAATTAATAATTGTTAGCTATAAAGAGATAATTTGGTGGCAACGCAATCTGTATATTAAAAATGGTAACTAATAAAATACAGTAGCATAGTAGCAACCAAATAAAAAAATTTTTCTTGATATATTTATTTTATTTCACGTTTCGGTCGTTATTTTCAACAGCTGAACATATTGTGATTCAATAATACGTCACCATATCGTAACACCTGTTAAACTGATAAATATGATATCTGGAAAATAATATGGGAGACAAAGCTACATACAGAACGAAAAAAATTGGAATTTTTTGGTTTGTTGGCAACATATTTCGATAATATTTTCAACGTTATTTTACAATAAAATTTATTTATATTTTATTACCTTCAATGGGATTTGTTCCAATTGTATATTTCTTGTTCAATAATCTTGCTTGCAACGTTTTAATCCTCTCAAAAAGTTTTACATTTATTACCAAATTAAAGATCATCTTCCTTTTTATAAAATCAATTTGTTTTAATTACATTTCTTTGGATTGTACATTAGAATTTTGATAATTTGAAGGCAATTCTTTATATATAACACTCTGAATACAAAAAAGTATTTAGATTAATAAATTGTTAACAAATTTTCTTAAGAATAATTAATAAAAAACGAATTAAAAAATTGAACTTCTGTTCTGCGGAACAATAAAAATTTCCATTTATTTATTTTTCTCAAGATGTAACCAACATTGCTTCCACTTGTCAAAGCACAATATTTGTCCTTTCATTCCTAAGCTGATATTTTATTTAATACTGTTTGAAACAAATAAATAAAATTTACAATAAATTGTCGTTAATTATGTATATCTAAAGTCATACATGTGTCTTCTTAATATGTCTTTAATACATTTTCTCAGAACAAGTTACTTGCGCGCAATAGTAACAATATTTAAACAAGTGACATTAATGATATTAGTATAACTCCGTCACTTATAATAAAATTAACTTGCATAATTTACATAAGTACTTTTATATCCGATATCTTCTTTTTATTTATTACCATATTGCTCTGATATCTCGATGTTTCTTAACTGACTGTAACGTTCGAAAATGATAGAATAATAAGACGAAACTCTCGTATCTTGTTATAAAAATATTATAACAATAACATTAATGAATAATTATGTGAAAATAACCGTAAATATCCAAAAATACAATACGATTAACGTTCTAGCTAAATGCGAAACGAACAAACACAATTTGTTATTACACGTAACTCGTCTACTTTGCGTTTCGTTATATGTAAATACGAAACATTTAAGTATTAAAATATCGTTTGCGCAGAATAACAACGCAAGTATTATTGGGATATTTTAAAATTCGAAATAACATCAACTTGAATAAAGCACAAAACTTTTGACAAGTTGTAAAAACACAGCAGGATACACTAATTACGAGAGCTTCCGCGAACGAATGTCAATACCTATGGACACATTGGAAATTGACGACCATCATATCGCGCAAAGAAAATAAACGGAAATAAAAATATGTCTGCGGAAAGAAATATTCGCCGTTGCAGATGTTGATGTTTAATTTTCATTCAAGTATAAAAGCAACGACTTTGTCACCATACTGCAGCAGTCCGAAAAGGAAGCGGCTAACCATGAAGATCACGTTGTTGTTGTTGGCAGTATTCGTCTGCGTGCAGTTAGCGATCGCAGGCGTGAATATAGAAGCCAGAAAGGAAGCGGATGCGTCTGCAGAAAGCTCCGGATCGAAGAGTTCCCAAGTGGAGAAAAAGGAAGAAGCATCGCAAAGCTCCTCGGCTTCTAAATCGTCAAATGAAAAAGAAAGCTCGAAAAGCGGCGGAGGCATAGAAATCAGTGGAAGCTCGGGAAGCGGCGAGAAATGGAAAAACGGTGAAAGCTCGGAAAACGGCGGCAAATGGAATAACGGTGCAAACTCGGAAAGCGGCGAAAAATGGAATAACGGCGGAAATTCGGAAAACGGCGCAAAGTGGAATAACGGTGCAAGCTCGGAAAGCGGAGAAAAATGGAAGAACAATGCAAGCTCGGAAAGCGGAGAAAAATGGAAGAACAATGGAAGCTCGGAAAACGGCAAAAAATGGAATAACGGTGGAAATTCCGAAAGTGGCGAAAATTGGAATAACGGTGGAAGTTCCGAAAGCGGCAAAAATTGGAAGAACGATGGAAGTTCGGAAAGCGGCGAAAATTGGAAGAACGATGGAAGCTCCGAAAGCGGCAAAAATTGGAAGAACGGCGGAAGCTCGGAAAGCGACAAAAATTGGAAGAACGGTGGAAGTTCGGAAAGCAGCGAAAATTGGAAGAACGATGGAAGCTCGGAAAGCGGAAAAAATTGGAAGAACGGTGGAAGCTCCGAAAGCGGCAAAAATTGGAAGAACGGCGAAAGCTCGGAGAGCGGCAAAAATTGGAAGAACGGCGGAAGCTCGGAGAGCAACGAGAGCTGGAAAAACAGTGAAAGCGGAAAGAAAGATGAAAGCTCGAAAAACAGCGAAAGTTGGAAGAGCAACGAAAGCTGGAAGAACGATGGCAGCTGGAAGAGCAGTGGAGAATCAGGTAGGATTAATAAATTATCAAACGAATATACAGAAATTTACTACACTATAAAATTTAGAGAATTTAGCGAAATTAAACCCCTATGAATTATTTACTCTTGTTCAGTACGGAAGTAGTCAGTTTAAAGTACACTTGTCAAATCTTTAAAGTCGATTTTCCTGAAAACGGAACCTCAGATGGAAAAATGTTATAGTAAATTTTTTTCTTTTTTTTTCACGTAGAATTATCCCGTATACGAATATAGATCTGTAAATACTAGAAACCATAAAACAAAAAGATTCCTTTAATCCATAAACCAATAAATTTATTTTACAGAAAAGTGGAAAGATGGTGAAGTAGTGGTGGAAGGCAGCGTTAGTATAAACTGGGCAGATATCAAAGAGCAGGTTAGCAACATTGCTACATCCTTAGAAGAGGGTGGTAACCTCAAGGCTGCATTGAAAATAAAGAAAGGAGAAAAGAAAATTTCAAGTTTGGAGGAAATCAAGGAGAAAATCCGTGTATTACTGAAATGGATTGAAGAAGGCAAAGATACTAGCAGCCTATTAGATTTGAAAGAGGGTAGCAAGGATATTGCGTCGTTGGAAAAAATCAAAGAAAAGATCCTTTTGATCGTTAAGTTAGTGAATGAAGGAAAAGACACTAGTGGTCTTTTAGATTTAGAAGCGAGTGGCAAAGTAATTCTAGAATTGCAAAGCGCCATAGAAGAGGTTCTCGCAAAGTCAGAAAAGATAACTAAAGTATCTGAAGCTCTTTCCGGTTTACTAAAAAGCAAAACTGTCTCGGACATAAAACCGCTTCAAGCAGTAATTCCTTTAATCCTTGAATTGCAAAAATCAGGCGTTAATCTTAGTACTTTAAACAAGTGGTCCGCCACTAGCGTAAGTGCTATAGACATAGAACGCGTCACGAAAACCGTTCCAGTGCTCCTTCAATCCATGAAAGGAGGCGTAGATGTTCAGAGCCTTTTGAGTGCGAAAGGTGCAAAGAAACTTGGCATTAGTGCTTTGGATTTGCAGGCTGTTCAAGGAGCTCTCGGCGTGATTGGAAAACTAAGTTCAGGTGGTGCGTTGAACCTAAATGGCTTGTTGAACTTGAAAGGTGGCGGTAGTGTGTTAGACGCAGGAAAGGTCGGAGGATTAATTTCTTTACCGAAACTTTAAGAGATAAACCGATAAAGGCAGATATACTCTCGGAATATTTTTTTTGGAAGTTGAATAGTCCGTAAAACAATTATTTCTGATTATTATAATTTAGCCTAAAATATTAAATAAAATGGAGAAATATATGAGAAATAAGGTTCAAGTATATAAATAATAAGTTTTAATTTATATGTAATGTGTTGGGAAGAAATTTCTCTAATAACAAGTTGAATCTATAATTTATCGATATATTGTAAACACGGAACTTGTACTTGTTCAAAGAAAATTCTAATATAATACAGAAGAATTAAGCATCAGTAGTATATTTATTTCTATATAATAACATCCCTACGCCTCTATAATATTTCCACGATACTAAGTACATTATACATTCATCACGTAATTTTGATGCTACGTAGTAAGGGCAAAAAGTAAAGGTAAGTATTCACAGATGCATACAGGGGGTCGATTAATGAATTTAGATCTAGTTACTACAATATGACGAAGTCGAAGATTATAGTATTAATTTGACGAAAATTTCAATTCGACGAATACTTTTTATTTTTGGATAATTTTTTTAAGCTCAGAAACGATACGAATTCAGTTTTCATCAACTTTTCTATTTCAATACTCTGCTAAAATGCACTTTTTCTTCTTTGTGGGCGAATAGTTTAATTAAAAAACCTGAACTTCATTTTCAAATTCATTTATAGCGTGCATTACACAGTACTATTATGATATGTTCGTCATTTGCATTGAAAACTACCGGTAAAACTTTGCGATAAATAATTATAAAATTAACGAGTGTTTGATTGATGGATCAGTTTTTGTAAAAAATACGTGATATTTCTATAACATACATTTGAGGGAAATTTAGAGACAACTCAAAACGGAGGCCACATTCAAACCTCGCGATGCATTTTTAACGGTAAACAATGGTTCAGCAAGCAAACAAAAGGTAAGAGAAGGCTCAAATGAGTTTTCCAAAAGACTGTATTTATGTATGTAAATAAGTTGAATATGTGTATATAAGTAAATTTGTTACGCAAGAGTCTCAATTTTTGAAATACTTACATTTTAGATGTGGTTCAGGCTTGGATATTATTTAAATAAAAAATAATCAATCTGTCGAATACCTCCTACATCCTCGACGATTTCGATGCCCCTGAAATACGTTGTCCAGGTCATCAATTTTTACAACTTTTATCTGCACATATAATGGGTGCTCGATGCTAATTTTTGCAAATAATCATCTTAAGAACGATTATTTACATAACACGGTATCTTATTTGGCTCGCAATTATTCTGAAATAATTATGCATTAATGCATTTAAATGAGAAAATAATACTTCTTTAAATTATTTTATTACTTCGCCAGTATAAACGATTAGTTTGCAAGAACGTGACCTTCGTGTTATTACATAAGACAAAGTTACTGTTCTAAAATTATCTTGAAAAATCAAAGTAATAAATTATCTGAATATTTTTGTTTCAAATGAAATGTATCCGCATCTGCTACTGTTTTGAAAAATGTTCAATCTTGTTACTAATTTTACAGATCGATAAAAGAGATTGGTATTCCAAATTTCCGGCATGCTTTCCATCAATATTACGTAAATTGAATTTTTTAGCGATTAATAACAATTGATAAATTCTATCGAAATTTTTGTCACGAGAATGTTCGACCTCTATATTTGTTGGTTTTATACATATCCTATTAATTTAGAGATACTTGGAGAATATAACTTGAAATGAACAGATTATTGTTTCGCTATAATCACGTTGAACATTGTTGAACTCACTGAATAATTTCACTCTTAAAATTTGCAATGGAAATTCTCTTTTAACTTGCCTTCATATTTGACGATATTAACGACACATGTCATTCACGGTAATTAAAATGTTTCAAACTAATACGAAGCGATATAGTATTATTTAGAGAGGTTTCAGAACACGTCTTTAGAACATACCTAACAAAATATGTTTGCTTCATTATCGTGATTTGTTCGCGTGAAATTCCTTACTTATATCATTTCGAAGTTTTCAAAAACAGTTTCTATAAAGTCCTCTACGCTTTGCGTCTAGTTCGTAATTCTCATTAGCGTGAAACGAGACTTTAATTGTTCAGCTCCCTTTCAACCATTATGTTAATGCATTTTCAAAAACTATTTACATAATTTGAAGAAACGAAAATTGTTACATGAACTTTAATAATCATTATAGAGTCAAATTTGTAATTGTTTGCAGAAAATATATACTCATATTGGAATCTTCCCAAGAATATGATTGTTTTGTTGAAAGGATATATCAGACGTCGATATCCCGCTCTGTGACTTGACGATCTCGTACCTATATTGAAGTGAAGTCTATAGAGTCATATCGAATTCTAAGAAATTTAATCGATCCTTTGATACAGTAATTTTGTATTTTTTGAGACTTCTTTTTTCGTGTAGAATCACCCCCTTTCCGCTGTACCACCAGTTACCAACCACCCTGTATAATTAGTTAAAGAAGAAATAAATAAAACAATAGACAAATATTCTGTGAGGAAAGGAAGCTGGAAATGCCTTTCTGTTATATACTGAAGATTATATTATTATATATTGAAGACAAATAATAAGTTTAATGTCATTAATTAATCACGTTCGTCAAATTTTATTTTATTAATTCGTTTACGTAATCTTACTTTTCACGCAGCTTTTGTTAACTCTTTGTCTCTACTTCACCTATTTTCCTATATTTCTCGTATCTGAAAATATGCAATAAGTAACTTAGTTTTATATTGTTTCTATCATACAAAAGTGACTCGAGAGAATCAATTAAAATTCTACCCATCATAAGTCTCGTGACTTAGAAACTAGGTTATACTCCAGGGAACGTGGCTAATTTAATCCAGAACATCAGTGAAAGGAGCGAGTCGAGGCTGAAAACAATTTTGAATTATTAACGCCGTGGATACGACTTCGTTTCTGCTTCCATTGACGCGAATACTTGTAAGAGTGTTAGCCGTATCACCTTCAAACCGACACGACGTCAGATTTGAAGTGGTAAATCTTGGAAGGCATAGATCTCAGAATATTCGCTCAGGGCCAAGAATTTCATAGATAATGTATTCCACGAGAAAGCCAAACGTTTGTCTTCATCGCGTGCCATTCTCTCGAAGGATCAAATAATTTTGCACAGATAAGTCTTCGAATTTCGACGTGCTACATCTTTTACTCAGCCTTTCTTAACCTTTCGCTCTTTGCCAATAATTGAAATTAAGTTAAATTAATTTAAAGGAATATACTCTGAATATATTGATTTAAATTAAAAATTACATTATATACTTTATTAAGTCTTATTTTAAATCACAAACATTACTAGAATGCACAGAAAACAACAGAAAATCTCAAAAAAATGTCTTTTATTAAATACAATCTTACTATATTACTAACAATGTGCTAATTAGCATCTAATTCCATACAAGTAGAAAATTATTTACCATATTTAAATTCCATATCATTTTCTAGTATATTACAAAATTATTATTAGTTTACATATAAACGTTTCCTAAACGTAATATTCTACTGGATAAACCATCGTTTTATAACATATGTAACATTACCTCCATACAGTTACAAATCACACCGGAATCAATCTTAATACTTGAATATAGAGGTTCAATGTACCAACGGTAAAGCTTGCCAGTTTACCACCTTTGTCATCGATTCTGGTATTCTCTTTGGCGACGCTTTATTCATCAAAGCATTGATACCTCTGACAATTTTGACTGATATCACGAACATTATGATACTCCTAACCAGATCTTTGGATTCTGTTCTAGGATGAATAATTTTCAATAGGATACCATTAAAGAGACAAACGTCAATTTTCTAATGTTGCTCCGTCTATGTCTGAAGCTGATTAGTATCCATTTTAGCTCTTGCTTTGTCGAGTTGACGTTGTATTATACTATTATCATTTTCCTGCGTATGATTATGAAATTTCATATTATATAAATTTTTATACCGTTTCGTAGGTTTGAAAAATTTAACAGACAATACCTTCATATAAAACTAGTATTATGTTATACAAAACTACTACTATTATGACAATTTATAGACGAAAGTTTTCTATCTTTTTATGGTAATGAATAATCAATATCTGAAATTTTTTAACTTTCGCAAGACTTTAATGCACTCAATTCCTTGTTTTCTTTCATTTTATAAAAATCAAGCGCTAATGTTCTTTCGTAAAATTTTGCGAAGTTTCGTAAAGATTGAAGTAAACGATAATTGAACTGTACTAGTACAGATGGATAGGATAGGTGAACCAAAATCGACTTCAGTGATACGTAAAACTAACATTGTCTTGTTGCAAAACGTATCTTTTATTGATAAATTTTGAATGTTTCTTTTTCATCGTTGTATTTGAGTTGTTCATGTCAAATATTAAGAGTAGTACTCGTCCAGATTGAAATTCTGTTATATAAATAGCAGTTCTTTTCTAGATCCATACTTAAATTACATGTAATTGTTTTATATCATCATTTAAGAAATATTCTTTTTATTTGACTTTTTACAGTTGCAATTACTATAATAAGTCATCAGTTAAAAATATCAAATATTGCTTTTATCGAGGATTCCAATAATCGATATTACCATTTTCTCAAAATATTTCTTAAAATTTATTTCAAAATATATCAATGGCAATTGAAACAGCTACTGAACTGAATTTTACATAAAATTTACAGTTTTATTAGAAATAATCGATTAATCGTAAATAGACAGAAATCTGAAAGATGATAAAGGAACATTATTTATCAAAGTCAATCCACATTAATATCACGTGTCTGCTCCTTATAATCGCCCACTTGGAACACAATTTACACGTAAATGAATTTATGCAAAAACCGAAGCAGATTCTTAAAGCAAAAATTCCAGTAATGTAAAAGTAGATTGAAGAGGCAATCAATATTCTGTGTAATGTTTTAAATGCAAATTGTAGCCTTTTACAAAATCTACGTCCACATCTTTGTGTCCACATTTTGTCTACAAAACGTGCAACATTTTAATTTATACTTTAAAGCTCCAAAGAAATTCAAGTAATGAAATCTGGTCTCTCGAGACTTTTGAATTAAATTATTAGATTTTAACATGTACAAAGTTATTACATAAATTGGCCATTTAGTAAAACTCTCCTTTGATCTTTAAAAGGAGCTTCAAGTGTAGCTTCAACGTGAATGAAGCATGAAATATGTATGGCTAATTAGGAAGCAATTTTAATATAATAATTAGAGAACTACAAAACTTAAATAACAGCGACATATGGT